GAGATCTGCACACTACACACCACTAGGTCACACCTGTCACACTGATTGCAGCACTAATTGTTGCTGGAATGTGTGCTCTTTACACCACAAACCCTAGATCACACCTGTCACACTGATTTCAGCACTTATTGTTGCTGAAAAGTGTGCTCACACCACAAATCCTACTCCTACAACTACCTGATTCAATTCCCTCTATTTAAATATTACATTTCTTTTATAAATGAACGGAAAAAAACACTAAAAAGATAAAATATTATAAAAGGAAGAATTTAGCCAAGCAGGTAGACTTGTCAATGATACTTGAAATTTCACAACTCGATTCGATTATCACATATTTAGATGAGGTGTTTATGTAATCAGATTTGGATTTTGCAATATGCATCCTATTAATAGTAAAAAACAAAAAACATATAAAAACAAAATATATAATAAAAATACATATTTATAAAATTCTTTGGATACATTATCATCGTCTAGAATTACCACGTGCACACTTACTAGTATGTATATATGTATGACTATGTATAGTTTTTGCCAACATCATAAGAAAGTTGTCCTGATATGTATATGGTTTTTGCCGCTAAAAGAGGTGTGATTCTTCTATTACCAATTGAAAACTTGCAAATGATATTTCTCTGCATCTTACCTGTACACCTCAGTTGGAAGTTTACATTAGAGTGAGCAACTGAACTCAATGAAGTTTGCCCTAATAAAATGAGAAATATAGACCACTAAGTCTCCTCTTTGGTAAATATTGTTTGTTCAATTCAAAGAAATTTTCTTTTGAATTGTCCACTGCAGGTTCCATGTTGATAAAATGTCTTCTGCTCATGTTTATCTGAGACTGAATAAAGGTCAGACAATTGATGATATAAGTGAAGGTTTACTGGAAGATTGTGCTCAACTTGTCAAAGCAAATTCCATCCAAGGTAATTCTATGCTTCCTCCAATTATTCTTAATGTCTATCAATTTATATAGTTTTAGCAAGCTGCTAGCAACTCAAAATCAATAATCTCTTAGGGGCATGAATATGAATCTAAGGCAAGGTTTATCATAAAAAAAGCATATCTCATTGGCTTCATGCTTATGAGGGGCATTTGTACTAAAGTGTATGCTGAATTCAAATGACTAAGCTTCTCTTCTAAGTAGCAACACTAAAAAACATATATGACTAAGCTTCTCTTCTTCTAGCAGGCAACAAGGTCAACAATGTTGATGTTGTTTACACTCCATGGTACAATTTGAAGAAGACAGCTTCCATGGATGTTGGACAAGTTGGTTTTCACAATCCTAAAATGGTGAGCATTATATGTTTTTTAGTGACTGTATATTTTCTGGAAGTGGTTTATGAAGTACAATTTCTACTTCTGTTTTGATCTAGGTATCAGTTGAACATTTAAGGGAATAATGTCTTTTTCAATCTTTGTTTTTTTTGTTTGGTAGGTCCGCACTGTGAGAGTAGAGAAGCGCATAAATGAGATAGTTAATAGATTGAACAAGACAAAAGTTGAGAGGAAGCCAGACTTAAGAGGTTGTATTACAAATTTAGCTTCTATATGTGAAATGAAAATGATAGGTGTTTAAATTTTACAATTTATGCTATCATGCCCATGTGTTGCTAATTCTAGGCTTGACATGTAAACTTCTTCTAGCACTATAATCACCTGCTATAAAGATTTAACTGTATCAGTATGTCAACTATCAAGGTGAATTTTGGTTCTTGATCTTGTATTCATTTTGCTGTCCATGCAGCTGAGAGAGAAGCAGTTAATGCGGCAGAAAGAGCTGAGAAGAAACTTCAGTTGAGAGAAAAAGTAAGTCCAACTTATCCATGTTAGAGTACCTGTTCCAACTTATCCTTGCAACCTTTTAATTTTGTTTTTGGGATAGGCAAACAGGTTAGTAGTTAATTAGTTATTTACTGGGTGCAATTGGATTTCAAACCCAGGCATGTAGCTGGATAGAGTAAATGGTCAGAAACAATATATATTAGAAAGTGTATTTTAAGACATGAATGTATATGCTGTATTCTTGCAGACCATAGGCAAAGATGCAATGCACAACTTAGCAAAACTGGGAAGTCTGAGATATTGAATGATTAGAGTAAAACCCTCTATTTCTGTGTGCATGGACTTTTCATATTGTATAGCCAACCCAAACTAGTTAAACTTGTACTTGCATTAAGTGGGAATGTTGAGTTTGTCCAAGCAGGAAAAGGGGTGCTTGTAAAAATAAGATTATTGTCTACTACTCTTATGCACATCCAAAATGGTGGAGTTGTAATGCACTTGGAAGAATTTTGCCAAGGGTTCACTAGGGTTTCAATAATCTTCCAATATTAGATATATAATTTTCAAGCTATGGTATCTGACTGTCTATACCTGCTTGGTCTGTTGGGCACCAATGTCAGACATCAATACATTATATGTGTGGATACTGCATGAACACTTCTTTAGTATATTATATTGGCACCTTCTAAATATCTAAATTTACATATATATATATATATATATTTTTTTTTTGATCAATAACACTTTCATTAATTCATCAATAGAAGATTTACAAAAGGAAGACAAACACGCTTATCTTCCAAGAGCAACAAAGAACCTCAAGAAAAGGAAAAAAAAAGAAAAAGAAAAGAAAGAAAGAAAGAAAACACACTACAGTTACAGCTTGGCCCAAAAAAGAGAGTCCCTTTCTG